ATAGTAGATATATAGAGATAATTCAGAATTTGTAATCATGTTTAAAGAAGAGATTTATAGCTATAGCATAGCTAAAAAGAGTAAAAATATTGTGTATATGAGGCGTGAGGTGTTTATAAATCATAAATGCAGTTTCTGCTTTGAAACTATTAGTACATAACCAGTAATAGAAGTAATGTTTTGAGTTATGAAATTTGATAATAACATTATCTTCTGCTATTTTAATTTCTGTGATACTGATAATGTTTAAGAAATGAGTAATACAGTAATCCTTTCAAACTTGCTATTTGAGATTTTTATAGTATCCTTGAACATTGTAGATGCAGATTGTGAAATTTAGAGGTAATGTATTAGGATTCTTAGGTTGTATTAAATTGCTAGAAATAGAAGTCAAAGATGCTAATATGAAGAAGACTGATGTTGATGTGTTTGATTTTAACTGAATGTTCAGATAATATCAGATAGCTTGAATTGGTAAGATAAAGTAATTAGATAATGGTTTAGCTTCTGATGGAAGATAAACATGAGCTTTACTATAATTATTTTTAATAGAAATAGTTAATATATAGCCACAAGCATTATTAGATAAATAGCCAAAGCTGTGGATGTGTCATAAGAAAGAAATAATAGTTTGTGAATAAGAAAGTAGTAGTAGATGGTTGTAGAATAAAAATTTGTTGTAGCAGATATTAAATTGAATGTTGTCATAGTAGTGTTTAGCTATGATAGTTTCATTATAACCTTTTAAAATAGCTTTTATTAGTTGAAAGTATGAGTAGTTTATATCATTTTTCTTTATAATTAAATTTGTATTTAGTATGTTGTTGTTTATTTAGAAGGAATGGGTATGGATAGGTAATAAATATAGCCTGATAGTTGTAGAAAAAATATTCAGATGAAGGTTGAGATTTGTGTGATAAATGTATATAACATTTGCTATAATTAATTTTGATTGATATTGTAAATGCATAGTTGAAGTTGTTTAATTGTATATAGTTGTAATAATGAATATGTTTTAAAAAAAAGTTAAGTGTTTGGGGATGTAGAAGTAGAGGTAGATTCAATCCTGTTAATCACAGATTATAGCATAAGTCTGGATTATATAGTATATTATAAGATGAGTTTTGTAGTTCTTTCTTAATATGAGATAATGGAATAGAGTTCAAGAAAGTAGAGAGTTCTTCTGTAGAATTGCTCACCATATGCTTGGCTTGCATAGCTGCACAGAATACTATAGTCTGTCCTGTATGTTGGGTCTGACCATTATTAACCCAGTTCTTCATATAAAAGAACTAAACCATCTGTTCACTTACATTATTCTCTTCTAAGAATGGTTTACTAAATGTAGAGAACATCATTATTTTAGAAATGGTAGCTGCATTTATATGCTTTACAGAAGAGTTTATTGAAAAGGATTATAGAAAAGTGTTGTAACATTGTCAGATTATGAATTTTGTTATAAGTTTTGTTCTGTGTTTTGGTCAGTATTCTCAGTATTTGATTCAGATATAATAATGTTATCATCAAGAAGTTTGGATAAGTTTGTATTTTCTTTGGATAATGAAGATATTGGCTTGGTTATAGTATTTAAATCAGAAAATATAGATTTAGTTTTGGGTATATTGAATTTGATATTAAACTTAAAATATAAAATTTGTTAAGCTTTAGAATAAAATCTTTTGTTGTATGCTTCTCTGATTAAAGAAATAAAAAGTTTGTTAATTTTGAGAATATAAAAGTATGTAAGTACTCTAGCTAAGTATTTAGTACTAATAGGTTTGCTAGTGATATTGTCAATAATTTGTTGTAGATAATGGTTGTTAATTTGGTTATTATTGGCAGCAGCACTAAGATAGGCTTTGAAAAAGATATAGAAATAATAGCTTTTATATGCTTGATTAGTTTTAATATTGTTAAGTTTAGTAAATTCTTTTTCAGTATTAGAGGCAAGTTGGCAGAGAAAGGTGATAGATGTAGATTTGTTAAAAGTAGCAGCCTTAGGCTGGCTTTGTTAAATATAAAGAAGTCAAGAATAGAATATGTTTATTTAGATTTGGACTGTGTATTGGTTGGAGCTAAAAAATGGTCATATAAGTTAGTAAAGAAAAGAAAAGATAAGTTTTTAATATTATGTTCTGTATCTTTAGATAATATTGTACAGTTTTCAACTATACAAGTATAAATATAGTATAGAGCTGCTTTGAAACATAATTTAGAGCACTCTTATAAAGAATCAATAAAGGTGATTTTAAATTCAAAAGGTAAAAAGGCTTTGCATGCATTAGATAATTTAAGAGCAATTTGGATTTGATATAATTAAATGTTTTTTCCTGATTGATGTTGTAAAATTGTCATTTATAAATATTAAAAAATTTTTCAAACCAGGCTTTAAATTCTGATAATGGTTTTTTAAGAATGAAATTTGAAAGGTTTAAAGAAATCTTTTTTTAGAAATATTAAAAGAAATGTTAATATTAAATATATTATCATTTTAGATTTTAAAAAGTGGTTAATTGATATTTTTTTTACTAAAATTATAATGTAATTTAAAGCAAATAGAATAAAGTTTAAGGTTTTCATAAAACTTTTCTGCATAAATAGTTTTATATTTGTCATAAAGAATAAGGTATAAACAAGCCAGATTAAGAGCTATTTGTTTTTAATTAGTAGTAGTATATGGAGAAATAAGTTCTGAAAAGTAAAGACTTTTGAATAGTTTAATTAAATGAATAAAGTTGTAATAAATTCTTTAAGAAGAAAGATAAAGATGAAATGAATTAATTCAAATAGAATAGATATTGATTTGTCAATTAAAGAGTTTGCTTCATAAATGAGATCAGTTAAGAATTTGGGTCTTTTGTCTACTAAAGTTTTAATTAAATATTTGTTATTAAGTTTTGATTTAGGACTTGTATTGGATGCTGGTTGAATAATTTTTTCTGAATAGATGTCGATAAGATATGGTTTAATAAAAGTGAATAGTTGTTGAACAATTGGATTATTAAGTTTGGTATTATTTTTCATAGTGTCAGTTACTGGATATTCTTTAAACCAGTTAAGATCATTGCTAGTATCTCTTTAAGTTTCTTTTTTCTTTAGTTTTTGTTGTTTGGAATAGTGTTGTTTTTTGTTTTTCTTTAAAAGAAGAGATTTGAAAAGTTGGATTTTTTTATTAAATTTTATTTGTTGAATTTTAATAAAAACAAGAATTAGTTTTTGTTTAAGAGTAAAAGATAGAATAATTTGTTTTTTAGAATTAGAAAAGAAAGTTTGAGTATTTAAGCTAATTAATTTGGATTTAATTGAGACTATAATTATTTGTTGTTTAAATGTAAAAGAAGAGGTTTGTGTCAAAGGTTTAAGTTTAATATTCAATAAACCAGAAACACAAGTCTATAAATTAGGTTTTGTTTAAAGATTGTACAAATTGCATAATCAGGAGCATGACTATTTTGTTCTGTAATCATACAAAAAATATTTTTAGTTCTATATATAAGATATGTATAGTAGTGTTGAAAGTGTGCAACAATTGCAGAAGATATAAGATCTATTTGAAAACTGAGAAATAGCATATGAGGTTTAAAAAAAGATAGATCAGATTGTTATTGTTTTGGAATAGGTGATTGAGATAGTTTATCAAAAATTTTTCTAAAACAATTAACAGAGATGATAGAGGAATTTTGAATTATAGGTTGTCCAAGAGAAATAGAGTAAGAAATTTTGTAAAACTAAGAAGTAAAGCTAGTATGATATATTCCACAAAGGCATGTAGCAATAATAGGTTGTTGAGGAATTTTAAAATAATGATGCTTTTTAGTACTATTACAATTGATTAGATTAACATCTACTAGAAGTACATATAGAAATTAAAGTTTTCTTTCGATCATTCCTATATTATGATAATCTTTATATTTATTATAATAGTAGTTAATATCATAGAAGTCAAGGTCTTCAGAGACTAAAATAGGCATAATTTAAGGTTTGAGAATTAAAAACAAAGTAGATAATAGAGATCTAGAATATAAAAGATCTAAAAGATATAGGGTGTGACAATTAAGATATGTGACAAATAAGAAGGCATAACAAATAAGTAATGTAATGAGTAAGAAAGTGTAACAAATAAGAGAATGTGACAAATAAATAACACAGGATATGCAGTTTAAGTGGTTACAATGATCGATATTGAACAAATTTTTGTATTAGTTAATTGAACCAAAAATAGAAAAAATTAAAATTTGTATTAAATTAATTAATAATATGACTTTTGGTAATAATCTGCATGTGCTAGGTGTTCTAAGATACAGAATCTTTCTAAAAAAAGAAAAATTTTTTTATAAAAAAAGAACAAAAGTTTTGTAAAGAAGTTTTAAAGATTTTTTGCATAAAATCTTTAATATTAGTTTAATATTAATATATAATATATCAAAATGAAGCTCTAAGTAAGCTTTGTCTTTTTGTTTAAGATAACAACTAAGGTTAGCTTAATAGATTATTAAAGAATTTTAGAAAATGTATTTTGCAGTTTACTAGAAATATCTTACTATACAGAAGTCCAGAAAATATAAAACTAGACCACTTATATATAAAATTTAGTTGTTAATAAATTTACTTAGAAGGCCAGAGAAGGTTTACTTAATAAATTATTAGTTATTACCAGTTTATTATCAGAGAATTTTGGTACAAATAATCATTAGAAAGAGTTAATCTTTATGTATAAAAAATTGATTTTAACAAAAAATAAATAAATAAAAATTAAACTAAAAATTTAAAAATATTAATAGAAAGAAAAAATCTGCTAATCAGATAAAAAAAACTTTCTATTTAAATAAAAAACTTTAATAATAAAAAATAAAATCTAATATATATTATAAATATTTAAAATTTATAATTAAAATTTTTAAAAAATCTATAAATATAATTAATAATAAATTTAATAAATATTATTTATATTTAAATATTTACCTTTAATTATTAACTGAATTTATAAAATCTTCAGATTCTCAATCATAATTATCTTGTTCTAAAATTTGTCTAATTTGTTTATTAATATTTTTTAAAATTTTATTAGGATTTAATAATAAATCTTTATTATCTTCTTCATTAAGAAAATTTTCTAAATCATCAATAAAAATTTTATCATTTAAATCTAAATTTTCTTCTAAAAATAAAATAAAATTTTCTTTAGTCATTGTATAATTTTTATTAAAATCTAAATTATTATATAATAATTTATCTTTATCAAAGCCTTCTTTTTTTAATCTTTTTTTCAAAATTTTCAATATTTGTTTAATTTAATATTTCTAAAACTTTATCTTCAATTATTTTATTTACAAAATATGTAAGTTCTTTTTTTGTATTAAAATTATAATATGTATATAATTTTGTAATTATTTTTAAATTTTAAATATCTATTTGTGTTTTTTTGTTTTCAGTTAATCAAGTAAGTAATGAAAAATTTCTTTTATATAAAACATTATTTGGAACAATTGCTAAAATTTTTAATGCTAATTCTTTAAAATATTTTGGTTCTGATTTAATTAAATTCTACTAACTTATAGAAATATTATAATCTTGAGTATATAGATAATTATATAGATATTTTTTTTCTTTATAAAGTCAAAAATAAAAAATTAAAATATTACAATATGTATAATTATTTTCAAATTTTTATCAAATAGATTTAATAATTTTAATAATTTTAGTAAATTGTTCATTTTTAAATCCTAAATCTAAAATATAAAATAAAATTAAATATTATTTTTAAAATAAAATATAAATTATACTTATTATAAAATTTGGCATTAAATATATTCTAAAATATATAAATCATTATTAAATTCTTTAAATCTTTGATTTAAAATATTAAAACAATATTGTCAAAATGTTGTATATTGTTGTATTGGTAATTTTTTAATTGTTGCACTTGTTTTAGCAAACTTAAAAAACAATAACCAAGACTTGCATTACTATTTTCTAATCATAAAATTAATTTTTTTAAAAGTAATAATACAAAATTTAGTACTCTTAAATAAATAAAAAAAGTATAATAATTAATAATACTATTAATCTGATTATTTATTAATATATTATCTTTAACAATCTAAAAATAATAATAATTAATTAATAATTATAATTAATATTTTATAAATTTAATTAATTATCTTTTTAAAACTTTTTCTAAATTTAAAATACTTTTAATTATTTCATTTATAGTTGTCTATCTAGTTTTAGAATAATTTTTAAGACCTCTACTAGTTATATTCATTTGTTCTATTAATAATCTTAATTCTGTTTCTTTAATATAAAATTAAATAAAAGTAATTGTTAGAATAAATTTAATTATATTATAATTAATATAAAATATAATTAAATATTATATCTGTTTATTTTTTTTAACAACTCTCCACTGTAGATCCCTTGACTGAAATTTACAGAAAGCAAAAACATAAAATAACATTAAAATGCACAAGCAAGCAATACATAGAACACTAAGAAAAAAGATAGAAAACCTAGAGATACAGCTAACCAATTTAGAAACAAGAAATAAACTAGAGCAGCAACAAGCAACAACAAGAAAACCAATCTTTAGTGAACTTCAATAAGCAAAATTAGTATATAAAAGTAGAACAAAGCAGATTGGATAAACTTACACAAAGCTATTAAAGAAAGGTTTAGCATAAAGAAATACAAGCTTTCTATCAATATGCCATTATAGATACAGCATTCTTTAATAAGGTTCTTAATTAGTTTTAACCTGACTTGAAAAGTTTGCAAAATTTTGTTATTATTTTTGAAAAAGTAAAAAATCACCCTAGACCCTGAAAACAAACAGTCAGAACACATAATCAGCTAACAACAAAACAACAACAAATACAGCATACTACACAAACAATGATACTATCCTAATTAGGAAATAATAGATAAAAGTTTTTACGTATACTGCTAAGCAAATAGAAAAACACAAACCAAAATAGAAACAGAAGTACAGTGCAGACTAGGCCTTCTAGATGATACAAAATTAATACAACATATAAGAGGTTTTGGTAATAGAAATAGAAAATACATAGACAGCAGAATATTAGATGAAATCTTATCAAAAAGAATAGATAACCCTAGCAATTTAGAGTATATAGTGAAAGATCTCACAATTTATGATCCAAAAAATATTACAATAGATGATGTGCTTCTTTATGGCCAAGTACTTGAAGCACTCAAAAGAGCAGAAACCTTTTCATTAACAAGAAGCATGATAGAAGAATGGGCAGGTAAGCTTTTAGCAGTAGATCAAACCCAAAATCATTTAACTACTTGTTGAGCATAAAGAGTAAAGAAATACCAAAAGAGGAAGCAGAAATAGAAGAAATAAAAAGAGGTGAAAATATGGAAAACATAGATATAGTTTATGCTGAAAAGAAGAAACAACAATATAAAATAAGCAGTGATGAAGAAGCCAGCACAAACCTAAATATAATCATTAACCAAATGCAAAATCTTAGTATATCAATATCATCATATAGAGAACCAATTGCATCAGATTTTCTACAGCAAACAGAAAGAGAAAAAACAGTAGATAAAAATAAAAAAAGTATAAGGTTAATAACAGAGAAAAATTATAAAATGCCAATACTTGTAGACATAATAAAACAGAGCCAGTGGTCTCCAACAAATCATATATGTGACAAGAGCAAATCATTCAAAGCAAATATGCCAACATATGCAATACCAGGTGCAAATAAAGAAGAAAAACCAAAATATATACAATGGATCCTATATAGTAATCATTATATTAAAACAATTAAAAAGGTGTTCAAAAATAGAAACAGTTGAATTAAGATAGATTTCGACTGTGAATTCAGTAGAGACACAGCAATGAATAGAATCAAAAAAAAGAAAAAGATTGGCTTAAACTGATTTTAGAAGAATCAAAAAGTCAAGAAAAGAAACTGAGCTGCTATACAGCAAACAACAGTAGAAAAGACAAGAATAAATCCAAAGAATACAAGAAATTTAATAAAAAGAAAGATGATAAAAATGCATACCTAGCAAAGGATGAATCAGAGACATAGATATGTCTAACAATATGGGATCTATTAGCAAACATCAATATAGAAGAAGTAGAATACATGTGTAGAAACCTCAAAAAAACTCAAATTAAATGCATTAAAAGATCCAAATATAAAGCTTTAGCTGTAGTTAGAGTAGAAAATATAAAAGAAGAAAATGTACTATGGTTCTTACACAGGCTGGCAAGAGTAAACATAGGTGAAGAAGACTTTAACAAGTGCAATTTACAAAACTAATTCATAGCAAAAATTTTAGAACTTTCAAGTAATGCATCAGAAGTATTACTATTATGATGTTTGAAGAAAAGAGGAGCAAAATCAGTATATATTTCATTCAACAGAAATGGAAATCAGAGAAAATCAGCAACAATAATATTTGCAACAGAGAAAGAAATAAATGTGACACAAAAAAGCCAATAAGATTTAATAATCACCTATCATTTTGGTCGAACTATGTTAAAAGGAAAGGAAAGAGTGAAAAGAAAAGTGATAATACAAGGTACAAGAGAATAAATGATAATAAAAAAAGCACTGATGAAGAAATATATAAATATAACCAAAGAAAAGAAAGTAAACAAAGAAATAACAAGAACAGAAATGATGATGGAAACAGAGAAGCATTACAGAGAAAACTTAACAATCGAAGATCAGAAGCAGGAGAAGATAAAAAAAAAAAAGAAACCATAATTACAACCACAAGAAGGAACCTCACACATCAAAAATATCTTAGGATGAATATTAGAAAGATTAGAAAGATTAGAAGAAGATAAAGAGAAAAATAAGATAACCCAACCTAAACACTCCTAAGAGTGCCACAGTTGAATCAATGAATATAGACAAGGAAATCAAAGTATTTTTGCAAAAAGAAAGAAAAGTCTTCAAGGAAGAAAGAGAAATTAGATTTCTTTGTCAGGAAGAAGAAGGTTACAGAGTAGAAAAAGAAGAAGTTAAAAGTATAAGAACAAGACAGTAACTACTAAAAGAGAAATAGAAAGAAGAAAAGAAAGAAATAAAGTTAGCATGTTATAATATTAATAAACTCAAAACCAAAGGTTAGAAATTAGAAAATTTGCTCAGCTAGGCAGAAAAAGAGGAAATTGCAATATTAGGAATCACAGAAACAAATATTACTGAAAGAAAAAAAAGGTTCCTAACACATGCAGCAAGCAAGAACTATATAGGATATTGAACAAATATAGCAGAAGATAAGAATAAAGGTTCAGGTATAGGAATGCTAATAGAAGAACAATGAGAAAAGCATGCAGGTGCAGTCAAGAGAATAAATGAATATATGATAGAGATTACGTTATACTTCAAGCAATTGGAGTTGGTAGTAATAGGAGTTTATATATTACCAAATAATAAGACAATAAGAAAAAACATTCAACAAAAGATTATAGAAATAGTTATAAACTGAAAAAGACAAACACAAGTTGTGATTATGGGTGACTTTAATCATATAGCAGACAATATATTAGATAGACAACATACACAATTAGAAAATTTTAAAAGACTACCAATCATTAACTAGATAAGAAAACAAAACTTTATAGACACATACAGAAATATGCACCTGATAAGCCAAAATTACACATGGTTAAGCAAAGAAGTGGTAACAAGAATCGACTATATTTGGGTGTCAGAAGAACTGGCCTTAGGCTTGCAAGAAGCAAGCATTAAGGAAACAGAAGAAATCACAAATAGCGATCATAAATAACAACTGCAGAAATATGAATTAAACATATAATGAAAAAAAGCAGCAAAGCAGAAGTTAAAAGAAAAGATCAATTAAAAACACTGTATTTATATGATTAGGCAAAACCAGAAAATTGAGAAAATTATATGCAAGAGTTGCAAAAGTGACTAGAAGCAAAAGAAAGTCTAAAAAATATTCGAACAGAAGTACAAGACATGAAGGAATATATAAATAAAATAAACAGTATATACGATATATTAGAAAAAGCAATTATCATTGCAGCAAATAAGCACATATACAAAAAAAGAATATACAACACAATGGCAAATAGAAGAACTAGTAAAAAAGTACAATAACAAAAAAAAAATATTGTAAAGATACAAAGATTAATCAAATATG